CTCTACACAGGAACATGGCTTCCTAGAAACAGCTGCGACTCTCTGCCTAGGAGTTCTGTTTCTTTCTTGTGTCTCTGATTGTGGTTCGGTTTGGTGCCAGAGAGTTAGTACCTTCAGGGTGCAAATCCCAAGAGTTATTCTATACCTTTTCTTTATTCTCCCCCTACTTGAGGAATAAGTTGCTTGTCACTGTATGTCCATTTCTTCCTTCCCTTCCTTGTTTCCTATCCTAATTCCTTTACTAGTCTTTCCTTGACCACTTCTCAATGTAACTAAAACTCCATAAATTGTGGTGTCACTGTCTGTTTATGAATAAACTCTATTTTATAATTTTGTATATTTTAATATATCATGCTAATTTTAGTTGTTTCATAGTTCGAAATTACACATTTATGATGTTGAGTTATTAATCTTTTTTCTACATATTCTTGTCAAAACAAGTTAGGAGATAGATAGGAGAATCTATGTGGACACTGTGATTGTTTACCAAAAGTGATTGCTCACTTTAGGAAGATAATGTGAGATATATTATAAGATATAAGTTGAGCTTCCCCAACCCAAAATCTGAAATCCAAAGGATTCCAAAATCTGTAACTCAGCCCATATAGGACACAAGTCTGACAGTTCAATGTTTACAAACTTGGTTTCATAAGTGAGCATAAAAAACACTGTATAAGATTATCTACAAAATACATACATAAGGTACACATGAAATGAAATGGACATTGTGTGTATAGTTAGGTTTCATCTCCAACATATCTCATTATGTATCTATAAACATACCAAAATCCAAAATTCTGAAATATAAAATATGCCTTTCAAGCATCTTAGACAAGGAAAAGTCAAGCTGTGGTACTTAACTAATGTATGTCCAGTTTTACTATGGTTGGGTTTAAGAGCATCCTTGCCTTAAATTTTCTGTAGCATAACAGAAAAATTGGAAAAGGTGAGTTCCATCATAAAAACTTACTAAATCCCAGTTGGGTTAAAACAAACTGTGCTATTTCTCTACAACTTGGGTTGCACTCCAAAAGCTCCATAATGAGGGGAACACATTAGAGTCCAGTGAGATGGACATTTGTCCCAGGGAAAGGTAAACAAATCTCTCACACCATTATAAAATTATTGAGCTGAAAATTCGCAGAGGAAAACCAGGTCAGCTTATCAACTTTATTCTCTGTTTACCTTTTAAAATCTTCAAAAAGATGAACCTTTGTAAAATGCTGTTCTGACATAAGTGTATTGTGCAGAATTACCGAGACAGTGGCTGTAAATCTTGAAATAAAACTGACTTTTGGATAGTTCAGCAATAACAGGTGAGAGCAGTTTTCCTCTTAACAGCAGTATATATCGGTGATATTTTAACTCTCTGTTTTCCTTTCCCCAAGCCAATCAGGGGCTGATATGTTCTATTCCTTCTTCTCCCCTTTTTAATATTTTCCATTTAAGACAACTCTTTTATTTTGTCATCCATCCATTTATCACACACCATGGGAAGGTGTCAAAAGGTGGAACATGGCTTACAAAGTCTCTGACAGTTACCCAGTAAACAATCCATGACATGTTCCTGACAGTAATAATGACTGGGACTACCTGTTAGTATTCAGGCATCTGTACTGGCCTGCCCTTGGGGTTCTGACAGGATACACCCTCAGCTGCATCCACTGGGAGCACCACCTGTGCACATTCTCTATGTTCCCTCCCTCTCCCCCTCTCTCCCCACTCTTTGATCCTCTTTCCTCCCTCCCCTCTCCTGCTGCTCCTCTCCCCAGCCTTCTCCCTTCCCTTCCCCCCATTTTTTTTCAAGACAGGGTTTCTCTGTATTGTTTTGGAGGCTATCCTGGACTTGCTCTGCAGACTAGGCTGACCTCGAACTCACAGAGATCCGCCTGCCTCTGCCTCCCCAGTGCTGGGATTAAAGGCTTGCACCACAAATGACCAGCTTCCCTTTCCCCTTTGTAAGATCCCTTTCCCTAATTTAAAAAAAACCCTCTGCTTGAACCCTGTCATATGGCATCTTTCTATTGCTCCCTACTTTTCCTAAATTGCAACACTACCTTGGATAGTGAGGAAGATTCATGGACACCCACTTCCTACTAACTGAACTACTCCTTAGACAGAAAAGGGAGGTTCATAAAACCAGGCAAGCAGATTTCCTTGTTGTATGAATGTGCATCTTTTGGATATATGCCTAAGAATGGAATTGCTGGGTCTTGAGGTAGGCTGATTCCCATTTTTCTGAGGAATCTCCATACTGATTTCCAAAGTGGGTGTACGAGTTGGCACTCCCACCAGCAATGGAGGAGTGTTCCCCTTTCTCCACAACCTCTCCAGCATAAACTGTCATTGGTGTTTTTTATTTTAGTCATTCTGACAGGAGTAAGATGGTATCTCAGAGTTGTTTTAATTTGCATTTCCCTGATGGCTGGGGATGTTGAGCACTTTCTCAAGTGTCTCTCAGCCATTTTAGACTCCTCTACTGAGAATTCTCTATTTAGTTCTGTAGTCCACTTTTTAATTGGATTCTTTGGTGTTTCAGAGACTTGCTTCTTGAGTTCTTTGTAAATTTTGGAGATCAGCCCTCTGTCAGATGTGGGGTTAGTAATATCTTTTCCCACTCTGTGGGCTGTCTTTTTGTCTTGTTGACTGTGTCCTTCCACTATGTTCATAGCAGCATTATTTGTAATAGCCAGAACTTGGAAGCAACCTAGATGCCCCTCAACTGAAGAATGGATAGAGAAAATGTGGCACATTTACACAATGGAGTACTATTCAGCAGAAAAAAAACAATGGAATCCTGAAATTTGAAAATGGATGGCACTAGAAGAAACCATCCTGAGTGAGGTAGCCCAGTCACAAAAAGAGAAACATGGTATGTACTCTCTCGTATATGGATTTTAGACATAGATTTGTTGAGTGCCAGCCTACAATCCCATGGCCAGAGAGTCTGGGAAACAGAACCTTCATCCAGTGACTGATGGAAGCAGAGGCAGATTCCCACAGCTAAAGACTGAGCTGAATTCGAGGAACCCAGAGACAGAGAGGGAGGACTGATGAGCAAAGGGGTTAAGCCTGGGATGGTTTAACCCCTAGAAACAGTTGGCCTGAACAAGGGGTAGCACTTGAATCCCAGACTGATGTCTGGGAACCCAGCATGGGACTGATCAAGACCCCCTGAATGTGGGTGTCATTAAGGAAGCTTAGGCAATCTATTGGACCTTGGGTAGTAGATCAATATTTATCCCTGGCATACAAATGTACTTTGCGTGCCCATCCTACAATGAGAGATTCACTCTCACCCTGGACTCTTGGGGTAGGTTCTAGGCCCTGCCCTGGATGAAATGACAGACTATGGACACCCCCATGGAGGGCCTCACCCTCCCTGGGGAAAGGAGTGGGGATTGGAGGGTGGTGATAGGAGGATGTGAGAGGAGGGGAGGGAAATGGGGAGGAACCTGGGACTGACATGTGAAGCAACCTTGTTTCTAATTTAAATTAAAATTAAAAAGAAAAAAGAAAAAAACCCTGGAAAATAAATACAATTTACTAGCCTAGGAAAGATGTAATTCACAAGATTTACAAATCCATTCCCCAAGCAGCAGCAATTGCCAACAAGGGGATTGCCCAAGGACCTGCCTGTGAATTGTGCTGGACACTCAAAGGATGCAACTTTTGTGAGTCCTCAGCAACACCAGAGTAGACTTTTTGACCAGAATCTGTTCTTGAGTACCTAATGCCTCTGTAAGCAATTTTTCCCTGTTCTCTGAAAGTGAGTCCAGTACACTCGTTGGCTAAATAACATGGACTTTGTTGGAATCACTACGTTAGTCTGTCATTTTGCTTTTCTCAGGAAAAAATTATGTGACAAAGGCAGAAGCCTAGTGTACAGGCTGACCTGCCTATCACTGTGGACTCTCCCCCATAATCATACGCTCTCCCATCATTACCCTACCTATTCCAGTGTCATGGGCAACATCATTGAAATGGGATATAGAATCCTGTATACACTATATTCACTACTTTATCCTTCATCACAAGCTCTCACTCTTATTCCAGGCAATTTTTAATGTAGATTGTGTCCAGGCCAGTGGGTATGAGAAGAAATGGAATGGCTAAGAAATGTTAGCGCTTTTTGGTTCACTTCTAAAGACTTTCGTGGGTTTATGGTTTGTTGTTTTGTTTTGTTAATGTGTTACTTTTCCAAATCCATTTTTTCCTGCTTAGCTTAAAGTTCTCGTCATTTGTATTGTTATAAGTGCTACTGCCATTTTAAGCAGGGCACTATGACTCTTTGGGGGGCAGGGAGAAGTTATAAGATGCATATAGGATTCTAAAAATGAGCTAGAAGTTTAGAGTTATAAACTGCTTATTTAAATCATGCAGACAAGTTATTTTAAACAAAATAGGAATCAAAATCAGGGCTAATTTAGTATTGCATTTTTGAGACCAGTGACATTTTATATCCCTATTTCTGTGTATTTCAATCTCCAAATGATTCTCTACTCCATAATTTCAGCTATTTCTTCCTATCTTATTTATGTTAGACTTATAAGACGTATTCATTTTTCACACATAGCTATAGGTAGTTGTAATATGAAAAATCACTAAAGAAATTGCTTTGATTTACTTGCTATTGTCTACAGCTTTCTTCAAACAAGTAGAGAAAAATGAGAGAGAAGGGGAGAAAAAAGAGGTGGGGAGAGGTGAGGAATAAGACAACTTCTAAAACTTCAGCAAAACTCACACACTCTGTAGAATAATGGGCATATGGCTATAAAGTGACGTTTCTTACTCAGTTGCAGCAACTTGTTGGCACAGGAGTTGGCAATTATAAGTATGTCCAAAAATCACAAATTGATTGTATAGTTAGTCATGGGTGCTGTTATTTGCCTCAAAAATAGTCTTTATTTTGCCATTCTTTTTTAAACCATACTCAGAATTAGAGAAGGGAGACAAAACCCAGCAGGAAGACACAACAAAAAAATCTAAAGAATCAGAGATGTGTTCAAACAGCCACCTGAATTTATTGCACATTTTAACTACAGAAATATTTTCAGGTGATTCTGTTGTTTGACAAAACGTGGGAACCACAGGATCTACAACACTTGCAAGCAAAACTCAACAGCTCTAATAATAGTTACAGACGTGAAAGCCAATTTGGATAAAATAAGACATTGACTCAAGTCCTCCCAGAGAAGATTTTTGAAAGTAAAGTTTACAAAAATCTGGCTTTTCCTTTGAGAAACTATAGACCTTTAGCACCTTGATTCATTTTCTGGGTTTCTTCAGTATTGGGAGAATTCCCATGCTGTGTGTCTCACCTGTCTAAAATCATCAATATAAAACCCCTTTCTTTCTTTTCTTCTGCATAGTAGCTAAACAGCTATGGACTTTTGACTAAATTGTGTTAGTTTGAGACTTCCCATCAAAGGCATTCATGCGAGCACTAGTGAGGTATATCTTCTCAGGGATCAGTCTAAACACAATCACATATCCCCAAACGCAGCAGGCACAGAAATTACCTTAGGATGCATAGCCTATTAATTCTCTGTGCTAAACAAACATGGCCTGAGCTGTATGGAATCATTATGCAATATCCTATATTACTTTCTTTTGTTTTAATGCTATTTTTAAAAAATCTATCAGCTTGTTCATGACCTCATATGATTAGATAATTAGATAGTGGCTGAAGAGATGTTACGAGGGATTGCTGCTTTTACCAAAGACCAAAGTTGAATTCACTACCCACACAGAGTGTCTACACCATCTGTGATTCAAGTTTTGTGGTATCTGACACTTCCTCTACGTTTTTTTTTTTGGATCACCTGCATACATGTGGCATACATTCACACACAGATAATTTAATCTTTGTGAAAAAGGAAACTTAGAGATGATTTTCATGTTGACATTATTTTCAGAACATGTAGGACGGATGGTCTTTCTCCCTAGGTACTGATAGTCTATGTTTGGACCTCACATTTAAACCTGTTTATAGATATTACATTCCTTTAACCAATCAAATATGATGATGATTTTTAAATTAATAAAAAGCAAGAAAGATGCATGTTTCTTACAATTTTGGCTTTGCTGGATTTTTTTGGTTTGGTTTTTCTTCCATTTCTTGCATTTTTTGGTTTGTTGCTCACAGGAGCATTCTTTTCTCTCTCTCCTTCAGTGAGGTCATACAAACAGTTGTCACCACCATCAGCACAGGCTCTGAAGAGAGCTTCCACAAAAAGAACACAGCCCATTTCAGTATAAATGGCACAGCACAGTCTCTCCTGTGAACATCACTGAAAAGCCAACACTCTGAACACAGTCATGCTACCTGCCTGGATTGTAAGATTCCCCTTAGGATCATTCTGTCATTATTATAAGTCACTAGGAAAAAAAAGCAGAAAGGAAAAATAGGCCTAAAAATGACATTGAAAGTTTTAATTTGCTCCCTCTCTCCTTGAGAAAACAAGTCTTGTTGACCTGCTTTGGGGACCAAAAGATCCTGTGAGGTCAGTGTTATCTAATACCCCCCACTTTCTGACTACCTAATTCTTCAGCTTTTTCTGATGTGGTAGCTTGGGCGTTAACCTCACTTAGTCTTCAAACTCTTATGTGAACAGATGTGTTCAGTTGCTATATGGAAAGTGTTGGAAAGAGTGTGGGGTTGGGTCAGGCTAAACCAATGTTGACATGATTCTTGCATAAACTAATGGTATATGATCCTACAGTGTGATGGTTGATGAAGTTGGATGCAGAGTTAAGATGTCTGGAATTAGCTTCACTGACTTGGAGTTGGTGAATGAGGAAGAAGATGCCAAGGATGATCCTCCAGCTTCTGGCTAGGACATTGGCTCACCATTAGTGACCTTGCATGGGACACATTATGACCATCAGCTCAATGGAACAGAGGTAAAAGTTTGATTTCATGCCTGGAAATTTGGCATTTCTTCAATACATTTTATTTTAGAAGTTTCAGGCTAGTGAGAGGCATAATTTCTATTCAGTACATTTTTAAATCCTTCCTCATCATATGTACTGGAATCTGAACTAGGAAGGACCTCAAGTTTAAGATTCAGGTTGATAAACAATTTTGTTTATTCTTCTAGAAGCCTCATTGAAAAGGTACGGGTAAAGGACTCAGACTGCATATCATAAATAAATCTATCGCTGAAACCACCTTTGCATAGAACTCTTTCCTTGAAAGTCAGTTCTCCATAACAATGTCTATTTATTTTCCATAGTTCTATAAACAAACAAACAAAAATCAATTGACTCTAATTACCATCCTCCAAAAATAATAAAACTCTGCATCTTTTATTTACATAGCGGGAGGACCTTCATCCTTAATGGTTTCTGTTTCAGTGTTTCCTGCCATAATATATGTCAATTTTACCTACCAAGCACATCATATTCTTAATCAAAAAATATATTTATATATATATTTGTATATATATTTGTGTCATATTGTTTCCTTTCTATTTTTCTAATGCAGAACCATTCAGGGATATGATAAAATCATATTTAAATCCATATGTGAAATCACAAGTGGATGGGATATCTTTATCTGTGAATTGTTGATGGCCTTTGTTTTTCTTCTTCAAAAGCACCTCTGTTTCAGACCATTTATCTTATATCTAACCAGTTGGAAATCAGGGTCATTTCTTCCCTTGTTTTGGATAACTTTACTTTGTTTCTTATCTTCATATGTTATTAATTGCTTGGAATATTTTAAGCTGTGCAATCACAGTCAAGCAGGACATCTAGTCTGTTATTCACAAAATGTTACCCTCAAGGTCAAGTGATAAGCATGTATAGGGGAGAGAACATTCTTGTCTTGAAACAAGAATATGTAAAAAAAGAAAAAGAAAAAAGAAAAACTAATACAAAGACCAGTTGTGATGCTGACTGCTATATGAACTCCAAAGTTTTCAGACTGTGTGTGTCCTACATTCACAACTTACACTCAGTAGATACTGGGGGTTGTAGCTGGAAAACTGTGAAAGAAGTAAAAGTCATCCAAATTGGAAACAATGAGGATAAACGTTCTTTGTTCACTGAGCACATGTTTTTATGTATTGGAAAATGCCAAATATATTCCTAAAAACTATTAAAGCTAATAGTTAGCTTAGGAAAGTGGAAAGATACAGAATCTGCAAATATAGTAAGGTGTTTATATACACCAGTAGCAATCAAGCTGAAATATAAATATAAAACTATTTATAGTAGGTATGAAAATATTTAGAAATAAATTCAGTCGAGAAACTGAAATATTCATTCAATGAAAGCTATATCACACAAATTGATGAAAAGAAATTGAAGAAAGTCTTAGTTACTTTTCTTTGTGAAGAAACATGTCAATTAGGTAATTTATAGGATATATAGTTTAGTTTGACTTACATTTTCAGAGGGTTAGTCTGTGACCATCATAACAGAAGGCAAGCAGGCATTCACTGGAGCGGTAGCTGAGAGCTCATATCTTGAGACTACAAACACAAGATGCAGAGAGACCCCTTCCAACAGGCCAACATCTCCTAATCCTTCTGAGACAGTTCCACCAACTGGAGAGCAAACATTGAAGTAGATAAGACTTACAGGGGCCATTCTCATTCACACCACCACAAGGAAGGACTATATCTTATGTCCATATATTTTAAAAATTATGATCTAATAAGGGACAGGTAACCTAAATATACAATAAACTCAAATAAGTTGATGGAAAACTACCAAATAGCTATTATGAAAATGAACAAAATACTTAATAACACAATTCTCAAGAAAAGATATTAAAAATGGAAAAGGTGTATGTGTTCAACAAAACTAATGAGCAAAGACTTAAAAATCAAAAATCACAGTGTATACTTCATTCCAGTAAGAATGGTTATTATAAAAATAGTTGAAAAGAGTATTAGGGCTGTCATGAGTGTGAAGGGAAAGAGACCACTTACATACCTCCAATAAAGGTACAAATTAGTTATGATGCATGCTTGAAAAAATGTAAGTTATCATATAATAAAATCTAATTAGTATGCACACAAAGGTAATAACAATAGTGTTGGTAAGTCATCAGTATTTCATAGTTTATTGCAGCAATATTCTCTATAGGATCAAATCTTATATTCAATGTATGTGTGAGGTCATGCAATTTTTTTTCTGTGCTTGGTTAGCGTTCTCTAATGTCCTTTAGGCTCTCCCGTATTATTAGCATGACAGAATGCCATAGTATCATGGCTGATTAGAAACCAATTTTGTACATATGTACGAGTTTGAGTGCTCTAAAGAGTCATTGAACAGCTTGTCTGTAGAGAATATTACTATGAATAGCTTAATACCTTGAGACTACCACCCAACAAAGGCATATATGTTTACACATTATCCTCACTAAATAGACATTTGCAATGATAATGTTAAATGAAAAGCTAAAATGATTACATTTGAATATTTGTAGGTGTTCACAAGAAATTTTAATCTAATATGTGGTTGCTTTAAATTAGGTTTTTTGTTTAAATAATATGTATAATTTGAGGATTTTTCACCATTAAATTAATGACTTAAATAAATAAAGAATAAATCTTACACACACCTGGAGGGAATCCCATTACTCTGTCAGTAAAGAGCAACTTCATGTACTGTAAAATGTGGCACACTCTTGACAAAACTATGTGGGGGAGTTTTTAGCTGTATCCAATAGGACAACTATACAGAAAATGAGAAATTTTCCTTTAATTACAATGACAGCAGGAATTCAGGAAGGCATAATTTTATGTAATTAAAATGGAAAAATCATTATTTAACTGGAGTCATGCTACATTTCTTGATGAAAACACAACAAGAATCTTTAATTTCAGATGAGTCAATAATTTTATTTTTATATCACCCCTGAGCCTGTTCTAATTAAAAAAGAATAGGGGATAAATTCCAGGAAGCATTCTAAACTTTCCTTGTCTAAGTTACAATTTTTTGCTTAAGATGTTTCCTCATAATACCAAAAATAAATATTTAAAAACAATAATTTAAAAACTATTATGAATATAGGGAAACAAGAATATTGACAAATTAATAAAGTACAGGAATGAGAGCTAGCTGTAGATACAGCTGTGCCATCTATTCTACATTCATGACTGTTAGCTTGCATAATGACATCATCAAAATAAAAAATTCATAATAAAAGCAGTGAATAAATAAGCCAAACGTAAAATTTGCAAACACATACAAAATAAAACAAAATTGCTCCAAAGCCTGCCCTCTTAGAGATACCATGGTTAACATTCCTTTCTAGAGTTTATCCATATCAGAATTTTTACTGGAGAGTTGTCATCATATCCCAAATATTTTGTCATGTGGTTTTACTATTTAACAATCTATCTAGAATATCTTTCATGTTAATAACTACCATACTCTTGTGAGATGCCATAATTTTACATGGTTTTACTAGCATGTATTGTGAGATGTCCTTAAATTGGGTATAGATGCTTGTATTTTTTAATTTCATAAATAATATTTTAATTGAATAAAATCAGAATTTAATGTGTTTGTTGGTTTCAATAGCTTAGTTTGAGATATATCTGTATGATATATCCACATATGTGTAATTTTTATGATCAATCAACTAATGAACATAGCTAGTACCTCGTCGATGTAATTTTTTAATGGTGAAGCATTAAAAAGGACTAATAATTTTGAAATACATAATATATTATTATAGAATATGTTTGCCATGCTGTACAATAGATATTTAAATTTCTTTCTCCTATCTGAAATTTTATTCTCTTTGACCAACAAGTATTACTGGCAGTTTCTATTAATGAACAGAAGTTTTACTGTGGTCATTTTCTTATCCTTCATGGTAGATTTAAGCAGTAAAATGTGCATTACAATTGGTTGGCAATTTCCTCAGCTTTGAGTCTCCTAATTGTGCATAAATTTAAGATTAAGATCCTTAGTTTATTGAGTAGGCAAAGCATACATAAAACAGTTTCACTAGACTGTGCCAGGAAGGAAAATATTATTAATTTTGTTCTATTGTACATTATACAGGAAAAAATCTTACTTGAGAAGAAAGAAGTGCCATTTGAAGGAATAGGAAGGAATAGAACTTTTAGCTCATCACTGAAATAGATCAAAATGTTATTCACTCCCACTATTGAATGTGTGGATGCTGCTCTAATCTTGGGGTGGGGAACATGAGATGAGAAAACTTGAAGCCTGGAACTTATTTCTTTCCATTTACTAACAATAATCTTGGGTGACAAGATTGGCTGACCTTAATATGCACCAGTTGCTTCATATGCATGACTTCTTTTAATCATGACACCCCTGTGAGTTGGGTAATAGTCCCCCCTCCTTTTTCAAAAGATGGCTTGCAGGTGGAATGCTTATGCAAACAGCCAGAACCATTAATGATTAAGAAATTTAGTCAGAAATGAAACCTGGGTATCTTAACTAGTAACATGTGCTAATTTCATATTCTAGTTTGTTTTTGTATGTTACACACTACTGCATAATATTATATATAATTTCTCTTTTTATCATAATGTGGCAATTTGAATTAGATTTATCTCCTATAGGCTCAATAGTTGGACACTTGCTCCCTAGTTGATGACTGCTTGGGGAGGTAATGTTTGCCCTGATGACAAAGATACCGCACGCAAGGTGAGGTTTGGGTGTGCATAGACTTACCCTATGTTAATCTCACCCATGTTAATCTCAATCAATCAATCAATCTCTCTCTCTCTCTCTCCCTGTCTGTCTGTCTGTCTCCATCATGACTGCAGTTGAAGATGTGATCTCTTATCTTCTTGATCCTATGCCATGACTGCTGCATGCTTCCTTGCCATGATGGCGATGGACTTGGCGGACTCTTATCCCACCAGACCAGAACTGTAAGCCAAAACAAACTCTCCCACATGTTGCCACGGTTACAGCCCTTCATAACTGCCACAGAAAACTAACCAATGCACAGCATTTGTCTTGCAGTGATTCAGTCAAGGGTAATTTGTCTTCGGTAATTTCATTCCTTATATTATTTTCTCTCCCAACATTTATCTAAGAGTAGTCATACATGCTAATAATGTATGACTCAGAAACAGACAGAAATAGCACTCCAAAAAATTAATACAACTGACTTGAGTCTTTGTGTTCCTGTAGACCACAACATGTTGAAAGAAACTCTGTTTCAGTTCTTTTTTTGAAGAACTTTATCCTCTCCACAATTTGACCACTGTTTATGGTAGTTATTTTGACTACTCAGAGGTTGGGAGAGCAGTTCTCCACAAAGAACAGTGCTCATTGGTTTACTTGCCTGCTCTTGGTTTCCATTCCCAAAGAACCCTCCCTGAGGCAAGGATGACAAGTGCATGCAGAAGAGAGGTGGACTGTTAAGGAAATGTAGGAAGGCATGCATGCAGATGAGATGCTCAGTCTCTCTGGGTGTGTCTGTGACATGAATAGACTGTGCTGGAGGGAGTGATAATACCTAAGCCTGCTTGGAACCTTATGCATGAGTACTGCTGTGCCTGGGGTCTAGTTAGGAAATTCCAAAGAGCTGTACTTGGAAGATTGAGTTAGGAGATGAATAGAGGAGAGCAAGAAAACAGACACATCAATTGAAGGAGCCATCGTAGGTTTAAAGAGAAATCTGGCACTAGGGAATTGTATGGAGATCCACAAGGATAACCACAACTAGGATTCTTTTTTTCCTCAAACAGGGTTTCTCTGTGGCTTTGGCCTGGAACTAGCTCTTGTAGACCAGGCTGGTCTTGCACTCACAGAGAAACGCTTGCCTCTGTCTCCTGAGTGCTGGGACTAAAGGCATGCACCACCACCGCCCAGCACATGACTAGGATTCTAAGAAATAGTGCAGAGGCTACCTTAAGTTACCTTAAGTGTCCTTCCCCTATAATGAGAATGTTGAGTACCTTAAATGCCATCCTAGAGACACCATCCATTAGCTGATGAAAACAGAAACAGAGATTCACAGCTAAGCACTGAGCTGAACTCTTGGAATCCAGTTGTAGAGTGGTAGGACTGATGAACAAAGGGGTGAAGACCATGTTGGGGAAACCCCCAGAAACAGTTGACCTGAGCAAGTGGGAGCTCATGAACTCCAGTCTGACAGCTGGGGAACTAACATGGGGCCAAACTAGGCCCCACGAATGTGGGTGTCAGCTAGGAGGACTGAGCATTCTATGGGACTTCTGGCAGTGGAACCAAGATGTATCTCCAGTACATGAATGGACATCTTAGCCTAGACAGATGGGGGAGGGCCTAGGCCCAGCCCCAAATGACTTGACAGATTTTGATGATCCCTCATGGGATGCCTCACTCTCCCTGGGTAGTGGATGGGGGAGGGATTGGAGGTTGGAGGGGCATGGGAGCGTGGGAGGGAGGAGGGATTAATATGTAAAATAAGATTGTTTATAATTTAAATAAAATCTATTATAAAAAATAGTCACAAGACATCAAATAAGGTACTTAGGCAAAGAGATGAAGGTGCTCACCATTGAGGAGATACACTGTTACATCAAAAGACATAGAGTTAAATGGATAAATCTTGGAA